TGCTGATGTCATCAGACTTTTTTCATTTCCATCCTTTCAGCGTGACATTCAACTGACCTTATGTTGTAAAAAGTGCCATTTATTTTCCCAGGGAGTGCAGTTGTATTGGACTCCCTGCTGATGTTGGTCATGTTTGGGTCTGTCTTGTTTTTCCATTAACACATTTGTACGCTCAACGTTGACGTGAGCTGAAAGGAAACCGAATGGAAAACACACTCACACACACACACACACACACACACAAATATTAAGACTGTCTCCAACAGGAGGGTGATTTTTAAAATTTTTTTATTTAGCTAATAAACTTCCATAAAGAAGTTTTTTATACAAAACAGGTCTACTGCTGCCTCTTGTGGTCAGTTTGTGTCACTGAGGTAAACGCGAACAAAGGATTTCAGACACTAAATTAAAACAAAAATGTATCTGAACTTATTTATGTAAGAAAAGTGAACCTCAAAAATTCCCTCTGAGATAAAATTATAGAATTTCTCTATGGACCCTGGTGTGGCAGAACAACACCAGTCTGAAAGATGATTCACCTACGTTCAATCTTCTTGTCTTCCTTTCTCAGACATTACCCCAAAACGTCGTTCACCATCGTGGCGGACACTCCAGAGAACCTGAGGCTGAGGCAGCAGAGTGAGCTGCAGAGCCAGGTGGGTTGGAGCAGGAGCAGGAGATGAGGACATTTTTATATCCACTCTATACAGTGTCTCAAGCCAATGCTGTTATTGGGCCAAAACAGGGTGTTCACTTTATGCAGTGCAGTGACCCCTGCCTGCCACCAGAAGGCTCCAGGTTTAACTCCACCTCGTCCCTAAATCACTGTTTGTACCACTGTGTTAACCTCTGATAAAAAAGGGGAAGTGATTCCTCTTCTTGATCGGTTCATTCATCAAGGTGAACAGTAGGGGGTGTTGTCAAATTTATGTTTAAAACATTTTTATTTTTATGTAAAAATAGAAATGAAAAAGTGAACAGTTGGTAAAAAGTGGACCCAGAGACGGTGCTTTGTCCCATATGTTTTCATGCTGTGTGAGAGAGAGAGAGAGAGAGAGAGAACCTGAGTGATGACAGGACAGAAGCACAGATGTCCACTCAGCAGTCTGCAGTAGATGACCTGCTGTTGTTATGGTAAAAAATATGGTTAAATAACACATGGTTTAGGGACCGTCTTCTTCACTTTTGCACATTCAGAGGTGTCCCTAACCTTAACATCCTATTAATTTTGGAGATTTAATTTCAATTTAATTTGTTTACTCAGATTTAGAAAAGTTTTCTTATTATTTCTTCTTTCACAGAATGACTCCAGTGTTAGACGACGTTAGCTGTGACACAATAGGAACTGTTTTTTTCTGTCTTCAGCCTGAAGGCTGGTGTGATTCAAGTTCTTTTCATGTCATGAAGCTAATTGTCGTTTTGTTGAATGGGAGCCCTGTAATTAACTCCATTGTTTGATGGTATGATGGAAATGTTCCGCAGCTCTGGGTTTGATGACAAGGAACTGCACAGAATATCTCAGAGTTAAAAGTAGCCCGCCGACTAAAAACGTAAACAGTTTAACCAATGGAGTTAAGAACATGTGAAGACGTGATTGGAATTTGATCTGTTTTTACAAACTGTCCCTTTAAGACGTGCTCTAAAACCCCGTGTCTCTACAGGTCAAGTATAAGAAAGACTTTGAGGAGAGTAAAGGCCGAGGATTCAGCATCGTCTCTGACACACCAGAGATGCAGAGACTGAGGAAAACACAGGAGCAGATCAGTAATGTATGAACACACACACACACACACACACACACACACTGTTCATGGTCAGTGTTCTGTGAGAGTGTTTAATGTGAAGCTTTTGACTGAAATGTTTGAAGGGGTGCACTTTGGTCAGTGAGCACACACACACACACACACACACACTGGTGTTGCTGTCGTCCATTTGCTTGAAGAGGAGCTCCATCTGAATCATTAGGGTAAGTCACTTTTATTTTCTTTTTTTTAATAAATGCTGAGCCTACAAAAAGTTGTCTGTCAAAGTTCAGCAGTAAAATGATTGATATTTACGTAGAAACGCTGAGAGATTGTTAAAAAATAATCACAAAATGAGCCAGGAAAGACAAGTCAATTATGTCAACAAAGCAAATACAAAACGTATTGTAAAACTGCATAAAGTTAAGCAAAAAAATACCCATAATCCTCCAGTCATTTCAATTCTCCCCTCAGTGATCCTCCTCTCTGCTCTGTTTACCTGAGTGAGTGATCTCATTATTCTGCTGAGTTAATAATAAAACCGTTTCTCCCTCTCTCTCCTCTCTCTCCTCATTTAGCGGCTATAATTAACACACCGTCTCATCCAGCGCTGTGACGTTCTGCAGTAAAAGCCTCTTCACTTCATTTTATTACCGTCTATTTTAATGAGCGCTGCACAAGGAGAGGAGGAAGAGGAGGAGGATGATGAAGAAGAGGGTATCAGTTGGCTGAAATATTCATCATCTGTCCATTTAAAATGTATAAGACAGAGTGAGGGCCAGTGTTCCTGTCAGTTGTTTCTCTAACGCAGCAGGTTAGGGTTTGGCTCAGGTCGGGGCGTCGTCAGGTCGGGGTCCTGTTTACATCCTGGACCATCTGACCAACCTGCTGCCACTGCCAGGACACTCCTGCTGCCTCTCTGGCACAAGGAGAATGGCAATTAAAGAGAAGGTTAAAGAAGTGAGGGCATGTGTTGTTCTAGCCTTACAGCAGGAAGGTCGCTGGTTTGATTCCCATTGTAGCTGATGGTCTGTCTGTATGAAGTTTGCACGTTTATCCTCCTGTGTGTGAGGATTCATGAAAAGGCCGTTATTAGTTGCGAAATCATGAGAACTGGAAATGACTGAAAGAATGCAGATGCCCCCTTGTGGCAGTTCGCCATGTGCAATTTTATTTTGTCCAAATTGGTCGGGTGAATTAAAACTCTTTTCGGGTTGGTGTTGCATTCCTTCCACTGGAGTCACCTTCACCTCCTGAACCTTCACGCACACACACTCACACACAGTCACAGCCACGATAAGCTCTGGAGTAGCGGGCTAAATCCGGCGTAAAACGTTGATAAGACGTTCCCAGCAAATCGAGATCAGACGACATTCAGCCATGACACCGCGCAGACGAGGACGACATCGCTCAGAGCAGTAGTTTGATTTATTATACCTGGTTATTACTGTTATAATTCTATATAGAATATCTTATAATTAAAGGTCAAACAGAAAGTTGAGATCGCAGGTCGCCGGGATCCTGGGAGGAAGTCTGTGTCATTACCTGAGAAGGTGCCGAAGCCTTGGAGACCCATTTCTACCGAAACTCTTTAGATTGGACGAGGTGAGTGCACGACACTGACTCAGAGAGACTAAAAATATGGCTGCTGTAACTGCTGAGAAAATCCAATTTGAAGCTTCCACCAGCAACGCTGAGTCGGTGACCTTGAACTGTCGATAGTCCAGACGCCTCGACCGAAACTTGGATTGTTTAAGGACGACTGGTTAGAACAGCTCTGGATTTAGTTTGGATCATTTTATATTTTAGAGCTGGCCTTAAGGCTCTGTTGGCGTGGTTGGAGTTTTTAGGATGTTGTAAACTCTTTTTTCTGCATTTGTTTTTTAATTATTAAAATTAAATGTAAAGAAGCAGAAGTTAATTCTGAAGGTTTCCAGAACATTTTTTAACGTGCTTTCTTCTGACATTTACTTTCATCAGTGGTGAATATGCAGGAGGAGGACGTGCCGCCTGCTGTAACCACGCAGGATGGAGAGATTCAAAAGGTTACGAAAAAGCAAGAAGAGTTTTTCCAGGAAATGGTGGAAACAACAGTTAGAATTCGTGACATAACTGTGATTGAAACCAAAGAAGAAGAGGAGGAGGAGAAGGAGAAAGAAGACGCCGAAACAGAAGAGGAGAACGTCAAGAAGGAACAAGCAAAGAAGACTGAAGGAGAGGAGCAGGAGGAAGAGGAAGAGGAGGGGAGCAAAGAAAAGACGTTGCTAGGGCCTTGGGAATCTGAGGTTTGTCAAATCATGTTCACTGCTTTATCTGCTTCATCTTGCTGTTAGAAATAATTTTACCAAAGAGTAATAAAAGTAAATAAGGTTTAAAGACACTGATTGTCTCACACCAAAGTCCACAGAGAAAATCTGTGATTTTAGCTCTTTTAGCTGCTGGTCCACCGCTGCCCCCTGTGGTCAGTTCTTCACTCATTTGAAAAAAATCTGAGCAGATAATCTCAGCCACCATTGTCAGGAGTGAATAATTGTGTCCCTCTCTTTATCTATTCCTTAAATATTTCACACTGCGTGGCTGTTGTTTCTCTCCTTGATGCTGTTAATTATTTTAAATTCTCATGTTCTCATTATTTCAGGACTCGTCAGACACGCGACCTCCTCTGCCCGACCCGGCCTTCAACAGGAGGTGCAGTTTACTCGCCAGTGACGTAAGTCTGTTCAAATACGACACAGACAAACGTGGCACACTCTCCGAGTGCCAATCAAGTCACCAGTGTGTAATGTTAGTGAGATACGCAGCGTTTTTTTTCCTGTTTTTTATTTATTTTTATTCCCCACACCAACGGCTTGAAATGAGAAGCGTGTCAGTTCGACGCTCAATGGAGGTGAATGTTGTTGTTTGCTGCGAGACGTGGGCGGCTGAGATTTGGGGCTTCCAGCTGGGAGTCGAAATCTGGCAGCTCGGCTGTTCATGCAACAGCGTCATGACTCATCAGCCGCATTGGAAGTGAGAGAAGCTGCTCCAATAAAACAAGAGAAAGGAATTAAGAATATATCTTTTACGTCAGTCCACCAGCTGCTGCTATTCTGACGCTTACTGTTATAGAATAAAAATAAATTCATCGGGTTTTAAAAAGCTGAGTTTTTCCAAAATCATAGACACATTGTTGCTTTTTTACCAACAGGTGAAGTACAAGGAGGACTTTGAGAAGTTGAAAGGTCAGAGTAACTTTGTCCCTGGAGCTGAACTCATCCACTCTAAGAACATCAGCGCTGTCATCTCTGAGGTACAACCACAGGGACATGAACCTCGTGTTGAAACCACTGCACAGAAAAAAAACACATGATTATTGTCTGTGTCACGGACTAATGGTTAAACACAGTCCTATCCAAAGATAATGCAGATCTTTATCACTGATTCTCTGTTGTTTTGCTTCATTCATGGTTTAATCTGATGTTTGTTTCAGTCCAAATATAAGCAGGAGGGACTGAAAGAGGCGTCGCTGTCTCTCTACTCTGTGATGCCTGAGACGCTGCAGACCCAACACGCCAGAGAAGCATCAGAGCTCCAGAGTGAGGTAGAGAAAGTTCTACATAACGGGGTGTTTCATCATTAAAAGAAGAGAGGTTTCATTTTTGTTGTTTTGGTTTTTTTCTTTTTTTTTCAGATTAAATAAAGGGAATATGAAGAATGAGATTTCCTCCTCACTTTATGCAACGCTGCCGGAAACCACGGAGACACAGTTTGTTAAAGAGCTGACGGAGATACTGAGTGAGGTCAGAAGGATGGACGGATGGATGACACAAAGATGATGGATGTATGGAGGACAGATCAGGGATTGATCGACTGATGGATGATGGATGTTTGACTCAATGCATGGATATGTAGGTGATGGATGAGGAAAGGACAGATGATGGATGGGTTGATGAGCAAGAAAAAAGAAATTGTTTAAATAAGAAAGTTCTGTCGCTGTTTCTTTAGAAAAAATACAAGGAAGAAGGGAAGAAGGAGATGAGCAGCAGTTTCTACTCCCAGCTTCCTGAAACTACAGAAATGCAACTGGCCAAGACTGTTCAAGAGTTTCAGAGTGAGGTATGACCAACACTGTCACAGAAACCGTGAGGCAACAAAACCCAAACGACTGAGCCTTTACAGTGTTGTACCTGCTCCACTCTTTTTATTTTTTAGAAAAAGTACAAAGCAGACGGGAAAAGAAAGGCCTCCATTTCTCTTTACTCCCAGCTTCCAGAAACCCCAGAAATCCAACACGCTCTTGAAGTGTCACAGCTGCAGAGCCAGGTACTGTATGATGTCACAGCAGGCAGCAGCAGGGCACGTTTTTGTTTTTATATATCAAAGGATTTTATCAAAAATAATTTAAACTTATCCAAGAATTAGCAGAGAACATTTAGCAAAAAATTGGTGTTTTCCAGGTGAATTACAGTCCTAAGACTTTGGCCAAAGGAGCTCCGTCCTCTCTGTACTCCCAGCTCACTGACACCACTGAGATCCAGTTTGCCCGAGAGATGAGGGAGATGCACAGCGAGGTAAAGCCTTCCCATCAGCCTCCAGTCGTGATTTAATCCACATACTGGTCTTAAAGGTTCATATTTTTTACTCAGAGTAAATACAAGGAGGGCGGGAGGCGCAGCCTGTCGCAGAGTTTCTACTCTCAGCTTCCTGAGACCAAAGACACTCAGTTTGCTAAAGCTGCGTCTGAGCTGCAGAGCCAGGTGAGTTGACAAGAGGGCGCTCCTCTTGAACCTCTTGTGGCCACCAGGGGGCAAAATCTACAGTTATGTTGTGGCCACCAGGGGGCAAAATCTACACCCTTAAAGTAAAAAAAAAAGATTAAAGAAGTGAAAAGGAAAGGAATTAAAAGTAAGGAAGAATAATTGACTTTGTGTTTGTGTTCAGATGCGTTACAGGGAAACAGGTAAGAAGGACAACAGCTCCAGTCTTTACTCTCTTCTGCCTGAAACTCTGGAGACGGTTCACGCCAAAGAAGTGTCCGAGCTGGTCAGTCAGGTACGGCTGCTCACATTTGAACCTTACGTTCATTCATCTGAACATGTTAGAGGCTGATTTTCATCATTTTCGACGTGTTTCTCAGCTGAAGTACAGAGAAGATGGTGAGAAGGAGATGAAGATGAATCTCTACTCTCTGCTCCCTGAGACCCTGGACACTCAGCACGCCAAAGAGGCCTCGGAGCTGCAGAGTCAGGTCGCTGCTCAATGTTGGTTCAAAAATCATCACTCAGCTTCTCAGTATGGAGTCGTTGTCATTTCATAGTTGTCTCTTTTTCTGCAGGTGAAGTATAAAGACGAAGTGAAGCAGAAAAGTCATCAAACTTTATTCCATCGACTCCCAGAGACGCCTGAGACTCAGCGGGTCAAAGAGGTGACGGAGCTGCAGAGCGAGGTACGGAGATGACGCTGACGTCAGCTGTAACACCTGAACTGTCCCGCTGAACTCAGAAGGTACTGATAGTGTCTGTGAATGTTCCAAACCTCAGACAAAGTACAAGGAGGCGGGAAAGAACGAGTGCAGCTCCTGCCTGTACTCACTGCTGCCTCACACCATGGAGACGCAGCACGCCAAAGAAGCTGCGGAGCTGCTCAGCGAGGTCCAGGGTCTTCTACTGCTGGAGACATAAATCTGTGACTTTATTTTCCTCCACCCTTAACGCTCACTTCTCTGACTCTGCCGCTGCTGATGTTTTTCTACAGGTCAAATACAAGGAGAGTGTGAAGGACATGTCCAACTCTCTGTACTCCACCATGGCTGACACGTCAGAAACCAGCTTTGCCCGAGGAATGATGGACGTGCTGAGTGAGGTGAACACAGTCAACATTCAACTAAGAAGTGGCAGTGGATGCTAATCCTTACTGTACTGTAGCAGCCTGTGTTGTTTGTTGAACAGATTATTCTGCGAAATACTAAAAATGTAAGGATTGACTTTCACAAACTGCCTCCAACATCATGTTGATTTTCGCTCACATGGACTAATGAAATCAGTGTGTTCTACTGCCTCATGTGAATTCCAAAGACAAAAGTGTTGATTTTCGCTCACATGGACTGATCAAATCAGTGTGTTCTACTGCCTCATGTGGTAATATGTGTGAATCATTATCATTATTCATGCTCTTAGGTCAAAACTAACAAACTACCACTTTGGTGCTGACAAACTGGAGCTGCAGGAGGTCAACAACTCCTGTGTGCTGTAATTTAAATCTCCTACTTTCTGGACTTTGTTCCTTAACAATAAATAATCTTCAACCTCAAACACATTGAAATGAGAGCAAATGAAAAAAAAAAAAGAATCCTGTGATTCATCTAAAGTAGAGCAATTCATTAGACATAAATGAACGCAACCTTCTATCACGCAGCCGTGCCTTTGATGTGTAAGTTGTTGTTAGCGGCCAAATTAGCATCAGCAGCAGCATCAAAGGGGAACCAAACAAGAGCGATGTTAATATCATGCCATCTGATGCTGCAGGGCATGATGGGAAACTCGTCTTAGCGCTAAACATCCTTAATCCAGATCTCCATCACAGTATTCCTCGTCAATCATGTAAATTCATCCTGATGTTTTTCAGAACAAGTACAAGGAGGCGGGGAGGAGGGGTCTGTCTCAGAGTCTGTACTCTCAGCTCCCACAAACCTCCGACACTCAGTTTGTGAAAAGTGTGTCAGAGCTGCAGAGTGAGGTGAGGGGCGGGGGGAGGGGTTGAATATTCTAACGATTAAGAAATCCTGCAGAGGGAGGGGTGGAATATTCTAACGATTAAGAAATCCTGCTCTTTTATACTCTGATCCAAACGTTTTGGTTTGTTGTTGTGGTACAGATGAAGTACAAAGAAGCAGGAAGGAAATCAGCAAACACTTCTTTATTCTCCACATTATCAGAGACTCTGGAAACACAACACGCCCGAGAGGCTTCACAGCTGCAGAGTCAGGTGACAGGCCGGCTCCCTCCACACGGGTCACAGATGTGTACATTTATTTACTCCGTCCATGTGATTAATAACGTCACAACTGCTCCGTCTACAGCTGAAGTACAAACAGAGTTCACAGAGCGACGCGTCCAGTTTGTACCATCAGATGCCAGAAACCATTGAGACGCTGTTTGCCAGAGAGCAGACGGAGATGCTGAGCCAGGTGACAACGCAGCAGATTCTTCACATTGTCTTTACATCAAGAAGACAGACTAATGATGAAGGGTTTCTCACCTGCCTCTTCATTATCACCAGGTCAAATACAAAGAAGATGGAAGAAAAGAGATGAGTGTGAATCTTCTTTCTTCAGCTCTGCCTGAGGCTGTGGAGACACTGAGGGTCAAAGAGCAGCAGGAGCTGCAGAGCCACGTATGTATTTATATCTGCTCTACATGTCTGACTGGTCTGTGACTGTGTTTCTGGAAGAAGTGAAACAACATGGACCTCGTTGATGTTTTCACTGTCTTTTAGAGTAAATACAAAAAGGACAGTAAGACGCAGGCGTCCAAATCTTTGTACCGTCAACTTCCTGAAACACTGGAGACGCAGCACGCAAAAGAGGCGACGCAGCTGCAAAGTCAGGTAAAAACACACACACACACACACACACAGAGGAGTGAAGCTTTTTAAAACACACTCACTCTCAGTTTTTTTTCCTCTATAGAGAGCGTACAAAGAAGCAGTGAAGAAGACAACCTCATGTCCTCTGTACCATCAGCTGCCCGATACTCTGGAGACGCAACTAGCACGAGAGCTAACGCTCATGCAGAGCCAGGTACGAACGCAGAACATTCAGTGAATCGACTTTGAGGAAAATAAACTAGTCTAAAGCAGGAGCTGAAAAAGTCACCGTTTGTGTAGATTAGCAGCTGTTGGTTAATGTTAGCTGCTGCGCTAACCTTCGGATCAAGAGCAACACATTTTGTTTGTAAACACAGGCAGCTGATGTTTGCAGCATCCCTGAATGTACAGATGTTTGTTTTACAAAGAAATAAATGTGGTTTAATGATGTTTGTTTTTTTTGCAGAATAAATATAAGGAGGATGTGATGAAGAGTCGCTGTCAGACACTGTACAGTCAGCTGCCTGAAACTCCTGAGTCACAGTTTGTTAAAGGGGTTTCTGAGCTGCAGAGTCAGGTGACTGACACACACACACACACACACACACACACACATAGCATCAGTAAAGAATGACTTTAATTCACCTTCTGGCTTCAACAGATTAAGTATAGGACGAGTGGAGGTCAGGGGGTCGGCAGCTCTTTATACTCCACCATGGCTGAAACTCTGGACACTCAACACGCCAAGCAGGCCTCACAGATCCAGAGTCAGGTGATCAAACCCTGCTGATAATCTCACTGTCTGTCCAGCAGTAAAGGAATGTGAAGTAGAAAAATAGATTTGAGGAAAATAGAGACTGTCATTGATGTCAGTGTGTGTGAAGAAAAATAGATTTGAGGAAAATAGAGCCTGTCATTGATGTCAGAGTGTGTGTCTGTGTGTGTGTGACTGTAGATCAAGTACAAGGAGGGCGGACAGAAGGAACTGTCTTCTTCTCTGTTTTCTACACTTCCTCAAACTCTTCAAACGGAGCTGGTGAAGGAGGTGACAGGGCTGCAGAGTCAGGTGTGATGATCCCAGAGCAGCTCCTCCTCAACAGCACATTTGAGTCACTTTCTGCAGCGCTCCTCTCTGTGCACACATTCTTTTTATATAAAACACCTGTTTTTTTTTTCTCTGTTTTCTGTGTGGCGCAGGTGAAATATAAAGAGGACTGTAAGAAGGAGACGGGATCGTCTCTGTACCACCTCCTGCCTGAGACGGCAGAGACACATTTCGCAAAAGAGATGTCGGAAATCCAGAGTGAGGTTAGGTCAACGTTTTTTTGCACAACATTTTTACGACTGCCTTTTCTTTTCTGTTTTTGTTCACTGTTCAGTTTTATCTCCTCCAGGTGAGGTACAGGAAGGACAGGGAGGATCTGAGCGACACGCTCTACTCTCTGCTGCCTGAGACGCTGCAGACGCAGTTTGTTAAAGACATGGCTGAGACACACAGTGAGGTGAGAACTGGGATCAACTGGGAGGAAAAGTTTGTAGGATTAGTTGATAAAAGTCAAGAAAGACATAATTAATATAATTTACATAATTGAGTTAAAGTTGTTTTTAAATCAATACAATATCTGAAGGAGGTTCAGCTCTGACCTGGTGCTGATCATTCATTGGTTAAAGCAGTGATGTCACAGAGTGGTTATTATCAACAGCCAGTGGAATTTCAGCCTGATAAGGCCTGGTCAGTGGTGATGAGTGTCTGTTGACTGTGTCAGTCCAAGTGTTGTCTGTATCTGGAGAAGACTCTATTGTGTTTCTTCAGGTTAAATATAAACAAGAAGTGAAGCAGCAGACGCCGTCGTCTCAGTTCACCAAACTTCCCGAAACTCTGGAAACTAAACGTGTCAGAGACGTGACGGCCCTGCAGAGTGAAGTGAGTCTTTCTGCCAGTCTTTCTTTTATTGTCTAACTGTTTTATTCTTAATCAAAAACCCGTACCCTTGAATCAACATCATCTTTTTTTTACTAATTGCCTATTTGTAAATCTTTGGTCTTCAAAACAGATATTTAACTAGTATAATTTCTTAATTCTTAAACGTTATTGATCTTAAAATGTTTGTCTGTTTGTGTGTCTTCAGTTTCAACATAACATTTTTGATCCTTTTTATCGTCAAACCTTTTTATCCTCATATCAAAAAAAAATTGTTCCTCAGCCATTTTTATTTCTTTACTTTTTAAGATGAGTATTTTTTTTTTCAATCAAACTTTTATTTTTAAATAACAGAAAAACTACAAAGACGAGGCCAGGAAGGAGCTGGTGACTCCGGTCTACAGTCACATGACTGAAACTTCTGAGACGCAGTTTGTTCGACAGATGACGGAGCTGCAGAGTCAGGTTCAGCTTTTTACACTCTACTTTGTTCCTTTTATGAGTGAATGAATGAATGAATGAATGAATGCTTAGTCCAAAATCTCTTTGTGTCGTGATTTTCCAGAATAAATATAAAGAAAGTGGGAAGAAGAGTCGGACGTCCAGCTTGTACTCACAGCTGCCACAAACCAACGAAACACAGTTCAACAAAACTCTTTCTGAAATTCAGAGTCAGGTGATTTTACATGTTTTTGTTCAATCTGAACTGTCATTCTGTTTGAGACTTAAAGTCCTGATATTTTGTCTATGTTTCAGGTTAAATATAAAGAAGCCGGCAGGAAGGACACGTCGACTGCTCTGTACTCAAAACTTCCTGAGACTCTGGACACGACACACGTCAAAGAAGCGACACAGCTGCAGAGTCAGGTATGAAACCACCGTGACACACATTCAGGTAAAACCGTGAGGGTTGGGACTCAGTCCCTCTCCAATACATAGGTCCATAGAGAAAACTAGTAACTGAAGCAATCAGGGACACAGCTGCTCTACAGCAGCCTCCTGTGGTCACTTTGTGTCACTGAAGAAAATCTGACTTGATTTTCACTGTTGACATAAATAAGTATTACCTCCATATTTGTGTTTTTATTTATTTATTATTTTTTCTCCCAATTCACATGAATGACATAAACGGACTGTAGGCGGCAGTATTACGCCGATGTAGATTCACTGCACAGCACCAACAACCATGAGTTACTGTAAACACTGTATGTTGTATTTTTCACTCACACCTCAGTTAGAATATATTTAGAATTCAGCTTCCAGTTGGTATTGATTTAAAGTTAGTTCTGTGTGTTGTTTATTATCTGTTCGTGAAGGTAAAGTACAAACACTGTGTGTTGTTTATGATCTGTTCGTGAAGGTAAAGTACAAACAGGACAGTAAGACGGACGTCTCTTTGTACCAACGTCTTCCCGAGACCTCAGAGACCCAGCAGGCCAAGCAGCTGAGAGACATTTTCAGCCAGGTGAGAGACGTCACCATTACCATCATCACAGAGCAGCACATCAGGCCAGCATCTGTACAGTAAAGGTGGTAGTTGAATTCCCTCTCTTCACCTTCTGTCTCAGGTGAAATACAAAGAGGAGGCCAAGAAAGAAGCTGCTAAGACCCTGTACTCACAGCTGCCTGAGACCACCGAGTCACAGTTCGCTAAACACGTGTCTGAGATACAGAGTGAGGTGAGGGGCCTGACGCTAGCATAGCAATGTCGGACATTAGCTGAAGTGTAGCTAGTAGCTTTAGCTAAGTAACTAAAAATACTTTTGGAATTGTCTCTTTGGTTGGCACAGAATTAGATTCGATTTTGACAAAAAAGAAGAATTTGTAATGTGATCAATAGTAACAGAAATGGAGTAAATTATACTACAGTTGTTGCCAAAATAGCTAAAAGTTATCTTCAGTGGAGCCCTGTTTACCCAGTAGATGCTAAAATAAAGCCAAAAAATAACACCAACATTATTTTCTTAAAATAAAATAATTAATGTTCGGCTCAGGTGTACAGGAAAAGAGTGAACAGCTAAAACTGCTGGATATGTAGCCACGATAGCCTAAAATTAGCCAGAAAGACATGGGATTTATTTTATAGATTTATTTGAAAATGTGCTGCTGTTGTATGTAAGTTGTTACACAGCAAAAATATGTCGAGTTGTGATAGAACTCCTACACTTTAAAAAAAAAATTTAATTTTCAGACCTCGTACAGGAAGGACAGAGAGGAACTGTCCACCACTCTGTTCTCTCTGCTGCCTGAGACTCTGGAGACACAGTTTGTCAAAGACATGGCTGAGACACACAACGAGGTGAGAAATGGTCACGGTCTATTCTGGTCTTTCCTAATCACAAACACGTTCGTAGCTGCTGATAGCTGCTCTACTCTCCTCCCATTCTGAAGGTTAAAGGAACACTTTAGGATGTCCACAGAGAAAAGAAAAGATTTTTACACACTGTTCTCATACTGTGTCTCCTGTTTGTCGATGAGCTAAAATCACACGTTTTCTCTGTGGACTTTGGTGTAAGAGACTGAGTGTCAGGTTCCTGTTGGAAAAAGTTGTCTCACAGCAGGATGAAGCACTGACATAATATATTTGTAAACATCAGCTGGCATCTATCGTCTCTTTAGACCAGTGATCATCAACTGGTGGCCCGCAGGCCAAATACAGCCGGCTGAACCGTCTAATCGGGCCGGTGATCGGGCCAATAATGTTTGGCACAAACGTGATTTTTATTTAATTTTATTAATTTTATTAGAAATTCTGCTCCTCTGACAAATATAGCAATAATGTTCGACACAAACGGGATTTTTATTTAATTTTATCCGAGTGTCCAGCCCACAAAGTTCTCAGGACAGGGAAATTCTGCTCCTCTGACAAATATAGCCGGTGACTCCTGTTTTAGACTAATTAAATAAAGTTCCTGCAGATGAAGTACAAGGAGGCAGGAAAGAAGGAGGCCAGTACTTCCCTGTACCATCAGCTTCCTGAGACTCTGCAGACGCGTCACGTCAAAGAGGTTACAGAGCTGCAGAGTGAGGTACACACTCAAACACACACACCCATCAAAAGATGTTTCTGTTCTATCTAATTATCTTTAAGGTGTTAATCTTATTTCTGCTGCTTTTTATTTTTTTTTAGAACAAATACAAAGAGAGTGGTAAGAAGTCGCTCTCCTCCAGTTTGTACGCTCAGATGCCACAGACGACCGAGACGCAGCTCGCTGCTAAGATGACGGAGCTGCAGAGTGAGGTGAACACACACACACACACACACTGAACCACTCACCGGGGGAAACATTACCAGTGTGGAAATGATTTTGATTTGCTTCTAGAGCAAATACAGAGAGGATGGAATGAAGAACCTGGGCCACAGTCTGTACTCTCAGCTGTCGGAGACCACAGAGACTCAGTTGGCCAGGAGTCTGTCTGAGCTACAGAGCGAGGTCGGAGCCAAACCCTGTACTTTTAATGGTTTTACGATAAAACAAATAGGACTTTGTATTTGTCCAGGATGAAAAGTTGTTTTTCTGACTGACACTTTGTCATTTTTATAACAGTTAGTTCACAGAATTTCAACCAGGCCTATGGTTGATCTAAGTTTCTTGGTGTAAACAAATAACCTGTGATTATGACTGTAAGACTGTAAGATGTGACCTGTGGTGTGTGTGTCTGTGTAACGTTTTAGGCCAGGTATAAGGAGGCCAGCAGGAAGGAGGCGCAGAGCTGTCTGTACCATCATCTTCCTGAGACTCTGGAGACACAACACGCCAAAGAGGCGGCGGAGCTGCAGAGTGAGGTACACATGTGACACTGCTGGGTCATAGAGGGTGTGTGTCCTGCTGATGTACATCAGTGGACTCTGGTCATTATGAGCAGCTGTTCCTTCAAATGGTTTCTGTGCAGGTGAAGTACAGAGGCAGTAAGAAAGAGCAGAGCACGGCCCTGTACTCAGTGCTGCCGGAGACAGAGGAGATGAAGGTGGCCAAAGCTGCCATGGAGATCCAGAGTGAGGTCAGTCCTCACCTCAGCCAGGGTCAAAGGTCTCGTGCTCTGTAATACCTGTAATGGTCCATGTTAGATGGGACTGACATTATCACAACAATAACTTAAACCGTTCTTTAAAAAAACAATTCTAGGTTTGACAAATACAAAAATAGAATGTCAATATATATATATAGTCAATATAATATAAAATGTCAATTTTTTTGGTTTCCTCAGAATAAATACAGACAGAAGAGCAGGCAGGAGATCAGCAGCAGTGTGTTCCACCACATGTCTGAGACCAAAGAGATGGAGTTTGCTAAACAGATGTCAGAGCTCCAGAGTGAGGTGGTATCTGTGTGTCTGTGTCTGTCTGTGTGTCTGTGTCTGTATTCTGTGACGTTGTACTAATGGAGTCCTAATTGGTCTAACAGAGCAAGTACAGGAAGGACAGAGAGGAACTGTCCACCACTCTGTTCTCTCTGCTGCCTGAGACTCTGGAGACACAGTTTGTCAAAGACATGGCTGAGACACACAACGAGGTGAGAAAAGAAAACAGTGAAAACACATCAAATTAACTATCTAAAATTTGTCTACCAAAAAATACAAGAGACCACGATAAAAACAAATTACAATAGGAAATAACAGTCTATGAAGGACGCTGCTTAAATGTGGTCAAGTATGGCTTTGTAACAAATTATGATGATTTTGTTGGATTGTCCACCAGGGGGCAATAATACTGGTCTTTTTAAATCAAACATTTGCTTTTTGTTATTGTTGTTTTGGCAGAATAAATACAAGGAGGCTGGTAAGAAGGAGCTGCTGAACAGTTTATATTCTGTGCTGCCTGAAACCAAAGAAACCCAACACGCCAAAGAACAAAGTCAGCTGTGCAGCGAGGTGAGGAGCGGGCAGGTCAACTGAGCTGTGCTCTGATTGGTTCTTCAATGATGTTGGTGTTTGTGTGTTTTATTTCCAGAAAGCATACAGACAGGAGGGTAAAAAGAAGGCGGGCAGTTGTCTCTACGCTCAGATGCCTCAGACCATCCAGACCGTCTTTGCTAAAGAGCTGTCCAAGACTCAGAGCGACGTAAGTTGGGAAAGAAAAGAACAGATTATTACTGTCAAAATAGATGAACGTTCCAACTGATACACCATGATAGCCACCAGAGGGCAGGGCAGATAACAAAAAAATCACCTCTGCCTCCTCTGCCTCCTCTGTATAGAAGTTCTATAAAGAGAAGTTTAACCGTGAGAAGGGAAAGTCCAGCTACACCAACATGACGACGCTGCCTGAGGTGGAACACGCCATGGAGGTCAACAAGAACCAGAGCCAGGTTAATCCACACACACCCCTACACTGGGGTCAACTACAGTTTATAGTTACTCAGATCATGACTGTGACGCCCTCTACTGGTGACAGGTCAGCTACAGGAAAGGTAAAGAGCAGCTTCATCAATACAACGCAGTGTCCGACAGACCTGACATCATCAACGCCACCAACGCTGCCAAACTGGCCAGTGACGTGAGTAAACCTGTACCAACAGACCAGTCTGGACTACTGGGAAAAAAAGTTAGGCTAATGTTTTGTTCAAGCCGATGCCTGTCATATATTCTGTGTGTGTTTTTTCTCAGGTGGCCTATAAAAACAACAGAAAAGCTCCAGGTTACAACGACAGTTCAATTTTGGACAGACCTGACATTCAACACGCTAAAGAGGTTTCCAAACTGACCAGCCAGGTAACACACACACAAACACACACACACAGTTTAAACTGGACTATACCTGTAAATACCTGGATCTGAACGCACCTCTGTGGTAATTTGTGCGCCTCCTGCAGGTGAAGTACAGGGAGAACTTTGACAGAGACTTAAAGGGACAGAAACCCTGTTATAATCCTCTGGACTGTGTTTCCTTCAAACACACACAGGCTGTTGCTGATTTGGCCAGTCAGGTGAGAGATACATGGTCACATGATCAGTGTCATGCAATTTATGTTGGATTATTTGAGGTGAGAATAAAAAAAAATGGTCACATGATCAGTGTCAAACACTGGAGACTCAGGCTGTGACTGTATGCAATTTATGCTGGATTATTTGAGGTGAGAATAAAAAAAGTACAATTTTTGAATGGATTGATTTTCAGGTGAAGTATAAAACCAACCAGAATCAGAAACCTGAAGGATGTTCAGAGCTGCCCAACCTGCTGCAGCTGGAGCACGTCCTCAACGCCAGCAAACTTCAGAGCAACGTAGGAACATCTATGTCACCAGAGCAGCACAAAGATTGAATTAAATAATTTGTTCGTTTAGTTAATTTTAAACTAAAATCCCAGATTTCCTCCATGGTGTGGGATAAATAACAAAAATAGTGTGTTTACGTGCATGTGTGCGTGGACAGGTGGAATACAAGAAGAAGTATGAACAAACCAAGACTCACTACCACATGGACATGGACTCAGCTGAGCAGCTTCACCACAGGGAGACGGCGGGGCTTCATAGTCAGGTGAGTTATTACCAACTCCGCCCTCTCTTTGTGTTTGACTGTGTTTGACAGTAAACGTTGTTTGTTTGTTTCAGGTGAAGTACAAGGAGGAGTACGAGAAGAGCAAAGGTCGGAGTCTGCTGGAGTTTGGAGATACACAGGCCTACAGAGTTTCTAAAGAAGCTCAGAAGATCCAGAGTGAGGTGAGGTACCAGGTTCAACAGAGAACTTTCACCAGCAGGAAGTGAAATAACTACACATCATCACTCGTTCTTATGTCTCTCTGTCTTTCCCTCTCTCTCTTTTAGCATGAATATCGCAGAGAATATGAGGAGAACGTGAAAGGAAAAGCCATGATGGACGTGGACCAGACGCCAGGATACTTGACAGCACGACATGCTAGCAGTCTGCTGAACGAGGTTTCATATACACACGGACACACACATTCACACACGTGCATGCCTTCATCGTTCCCTGTTTGTTTCTTTGCAGAAAGAGTACAGGAAAGATCTGGAACAGGAAGTGAAGGGGCGGGGCTTATCAGGCATCGGGCTGGAGGAAACACCAGAACTGCTGAGGATTAAAAACGCCAATCAGATCCTGAATCAGGTGAGGGTTGATTTTGTTTTCTTGTTGAAAAAAATGGTTTTGGGTTGTGATCGTGACAGTTCCATCCCTCCTGTGGTCAGAGGGAGTATTGCAGGGATCTGCAGACAGAAATCCTGGGCAAAGGCATGGAGCTGAGCACTGACGTCCTGGATATTCAACGAGCCAAGAGAGCCTCAGAGATCCAGAGTCAGGTACGGACGGAAGGAAAACATTGGCAACAAAGCTGCAAAACTACATTTTGTAAACAGTGACGTACCCCAAAACAAGCCTTAAGCAAAAGGGATGTCAAGTGAAAGTGAACTAACTGTGTTTGTTTGACAGAGGTTTTACAAACAGACGGAGCAACTGAGAGAGAACTCCTACGGCACAGTAACAGACACTCCAGAGCTGCTGCACGCCTCTTACCTGAAGGACATCTACAGCCAGGTCTGTGAGAACAAACACTACTGTGAAAGAGGTTGGAGTTAGATTGACCTCAGTGACACACACTGGCCACTGGAGGCAGCCTTTGTCCAACAACTGCTTTGTTCATGAGAGCTGAAATCACTGATTCTTTCAACACACACAGTTACAGTAATAATATAAATATAAATGATGTTCATGGCTGTTTTTTTTCTCGCCGTGTAGAAGAAGTATAAGGACGAGGCAGAGCGTCTGAAGACTCACTACAGTCTGGTGTCTAAAACTCCAGAGATGGAGCGAGTCAAAGCCAACCAGAGACACATCAGCTCTGTAAGGACAGCAGCACCACTTCTTTATCTCTCTCTCTCCCTCTCTCTCTCTCTCTGTGTGTCCTAACCACAGCTCTTTGTTACCCCACAGCTGCGCTACAGCTGGGACGCCAGGCTGATGAGGGGGCTGACGTCCTCGGTGGCAGAGACACCAGAGATCGTCCTGGCCAGAGAGAACACCAAGAAGATCAGTGACGTGAGTTTTGACTCGCATCATCGGGATCACGCAGACGTCTAAGTGTTCACAGGCTGTGGTTTGGGGAAGTGGACGTACTGTTCTTTTAGTCTGCAGGGTTTTGGGTTTCAGGTACAGTACAGAGAGGAAGTGGGTCACGGCACAGCTGTCATGGAAACACCGGAGATGGAGCGAGTGAGACGGAATCAGGAAAACATCAGCTCGGTCGGTGTTTTTTTTTTTTTTTTTTCTTTTTTTCTCCATTACTATTTCCACTGTATAGTGTCATAAAAGAGCTACGGAGCTGAACAAGGACAAGGGAGTCCAGATTTATAAAAACAATCTTTAACCCGCACACACCTTCTGTAGGACAGTTCAGCTGTCAGTCACACCTGGATGTGCCTTATCTTCTGTTTTCCTCTAAATCACACTCATAAAGCTGTTAAAAAAAACAAACTATAAACTCCACAATTTCTATCTGTACAAACCTCTGTATGAGTTGCTGCCACCTAGTGACTGGAGGCTTGTTATCATTCAAGCATTACAGCAGTGGTCCACTATCCAGCGTGCCATATTCCATTGGAAGCCCCTCACACCTCCACAGGCAACTCACCGCGCCCACCCCCCCGAGGGGGGGGCCTGTCTTAGACACCCCCCCCCCCTGTCCTTGACTCTCTCTCTTTTTGTTTTTCTTAGGTCAAGTACAAACAAAACACAACAAAAGCCACAAGTGTTGGGGTGACACCAGAGATGGAGCGAGTACGACAGAACCAGGAGAACATTAGCTCGGCAAGATACACCCGCACACACACACACACACACACACACACAAATACACAGATGTGTTGTCAATTTTTAACTTCATACTGGTGTTTGTGAATAGGTGAAGTACCAGCGTGGGTTGCAGGAAGTGAGGGGGCGGAGCCTAACTGGGCTGGACACACCTGAGTACAGACGTGTCAGGAGGACACAGGATGCTGTTTCCATGGTAGCAGCTGTGGTTGCTGTGGATACCGCCTGCTGTTGCTGTGGGAGGAGCTAACAGGAGTGGAGTAGGAGGAGCTAACACCTGGCACCTGTGTGTGTGTGTGAGAGAGATGGCAATAAAAACCTAAAACCACTTTTTGTGTGTTTTACTTCCTCACTGACCAAATGCACCCTGACGTGTGTGTGTGTGTGGCACGTGTGTGTGTTTGTGTCTGTTTCATCGCAGTGACGTGTGTTTCTATTTCTCTCCCTCAGGCCAAGTATCATGAGGACTTTGAACGCACACGGGGCCGTAGTTTTGGTGGGCAAGGATTGGACGATCCCAGCATGGATCGTTACCAAAGAGCCAATCAGATGACGAGTGAGGCAGGCTACGGGAAAAACATGGACATGGACCGTCGACCTGGAGGCATCATCGTAGGTCAGTAGGCACACAGTATTTTTCTTGGCCGTTCGTGAATGTCTTTCAAAATAAAAGCTTCAGACAGTGATCTGTGACTCCTTATAGAGCAGCAAGACAAAAGCGTCAGCCATTGGACTGGTCCCTTTATTGTACTGTGTGACTGGAAATTTTTATAGATTTTCTTGAATTGTTTTCCTCACTGGAAATTGTTATAGATTTTCTTGAATTGTTTTCCTCTAAACTCAGAGCGTTGTTTTTCGTAGTTTTTCCCATCTGTTAATGACTTACTGGTTTATGTGTGAAGACCTAAAAGTGTGGAGGACAGACCCTGGTTCCATATTTGACTATGACCCTCTGGAGGATGATGTCCAGTCCAGGAGTCTCCGCAGGATGTCCGGTACTTCACCTGAAAAATAAAACACTGCCACATGGTTTTTATTTGCTCTTTAGACACAGGTTGTTTCTCTCTTATACATTTTTAACTTGTTTCCTTCCTTCTCTTCTTCTCATGGCTTGGTATTTCTAACCTGTGCTGCCCCCATGTGGTGGCTGGTGTGCATCAGAGCGGGTAGAACGCAGACTGAGCAGGCAGCACTCACAGCTGACCGACAGCTCTCTGACCTCTGACTTTTTGGAACACGGTGGCAGCAGCAGCAGCAATGCTGGAACTCCTGGTATTTGGCGTGTTCTGACGACACCAAACTGAAAAAAAAACCACAAAACGTTGACTTACTCACATTTGTTTGAGTTTCTGGGTCTGGCACCAAAATTAGAACTGACTCACATAATATTTCCAGGTTTCTGTGTGATATCACTGCCTGTTGGGATGTGCTTTTTTTAAAGAGATATTCCCGGTTTGTGTAAAGTGTGGTTTTATAAGATACTGACACAAACAGACCACACGAGGCAGCAGTAGTCCAGTAACTCCCTCCTATGGATTAAAATACATTTTATCCATTAAAAACAACAATTCGTTAGATCTGTATTTGGATTCAGACAGCATGAGCTTCTTTACATGCCTTGAATGGTTTCTCTTGCAAGAGGGCGCTCATGGTACAGTTAGTGCTGGGACAGACTGTCAGTAACTTATACAACCACAAAAACTAACTTGACTGTCACTGAACAGCCAGGTGAGAGCTGAGAGAAAACTCTCTCACCCTCTCTTCCTCTCTCTCTCTCTCTCTCTCTCTCTCAGCTCCTGTTCTTCCTGAAGCGTACCAGCAGGGCATTCAGACGCCGCAGCAGCACCAGTACCACGGCTACATGCACCAAACCAGCATGTCGTCGGTCAGATCCATCACCTCACCCCCAAACTCCACCTCAATGGTAATGGTGGCTCTTCACTGTTGATGATTCTGTCTGTGTTGAAGTTACGTTCAGGAAGTGTGGAGAGGTTGGCCTCTAACTCTGTCTGTCTGTCCATGTATGTTGGCAGCGTGTTTACCGAGCATTGTATGACTACGCCGCCCAGGACCACGATGAGGTCTCCTTTAGGGACGGTGACGTCATCGTCAACGCTCAAGCAATCGATGAGGGCTGGATGTACGGCACCGTGCAGAGGACAGGGAAGTCGGGAATGCTGCCTGCCAACTACGTGGAATGTTGCAACTAACAGTAGGAAAAGGCAGGATATACAAGATATACAGAATATTATATTTGTTAAGTATAGGACCACAACATTGATCTAATAAAGCAGGGTGGGAAATGTAGGCAGTCGTAACAAGTACAATCGAGTTCAAGTTGCCTCAGAAGAACGATTTGGAAATGACATCAGTCCCACGTCAACTGAGTTCTAGTTGTCACAGAGCGACCGCAGGTTCTGTGTTTTTAACCATTAGCGTTATCGTCTGTTTATTATTCACTCTGTACACACTCTCTCTAGTCACTGTAATCAGCATTAACTATTCAATGTTAGCCTAACACAGAGGAGTTTGAACTCAAAGCTCATTTTTATTGATTACTTTTTTGCTTTCTGTTTTTTTAAATTTATGCAACACGAGTCCATCTTCAAATTTATACATATACCTAGCTATATATATGCTAATACAATCAATCCTTTAAACACATTTGTTTCATTTATAAACATTTTACCCTTGACTTTAGGATTATAATCTTATAGTTCTGGTAACTAGCAGGATAATCTAGTCAATTTTCTAAATTCATATTTTATGATACGACACAGGGTTACTATTTATAATATCAATAAAGGAGCGTGGAAGACTGCTGATGTCAGCAAACAGGACAAGTCAAGTACGCTGTTGCTAACCTAGCACGTGCTTAGTCATGAAGTGTATGGTCTGTTGGGGAAAAGAGGCAGAAAGATTATTTTTTAATGATAAAGTTTGGATAACACCTGAAAGTTTTTATAAAAAGGAGGAGAAAAGTGAAGACGAAAATAACACGACGTGATTCGTTTTTAATAAATTTATTTATTCAGAGTGTTGATTTGGTGAGAAATACACTAATATATAACCTTTGTTGTTTTTTTAAAATCTGTATATAACTATTGTGTACTTGTGGTAATTTTTTTAACATATACGTCATCCTTCCTATATTTGTTTTTATGTTAGCCAAAAGTTTTAATTTGAGCTCCTCCATGTTTATTATTTTCAGCCTATCATATGTTTTGATTTCTAAACACTAGACTTGAGTTTGTTCCATTTATATTCTTTTTTCTGCTTTTAACGGCACAACTGTAAAAGTTTGAATTTTGTTGTTATCACAGTGTATCGTTGGTCGTGTGATTATTTCCTTGAGTGATGTGGAGAAAATAAAAACTGAAAACCCAACACCACTTTCCTTATTTGTGTGGAGTTTAAAAATTTGATTATTATTGTATTATTGTATTATGTATTACCACAGGTAAAGGTTACTAAAACTAGTATTCTCTCTCTGTCCACCAGGCGGCGACACTAGTCGTTTACGTACGTGTATAAATACCTGGAGCTGGTTTACAGGTTCGTGGAAATCTGTTGGTTTAAGTCGGAAAAATATACACTAGTGTAGTACTCATATGTAACCGGCAGGAGGAGCCAAAGCATAGAAAATCTTTCACGGGAATCAACGAGCCGCTATTAAATCTCATCAATCAACACAGAAAAGCAGCCATGTTGGATTTTAAAGGGACACTTCAGGGTTTTTTTAAGCGGACGTTTGGCTGTAAGTGGTCAGGTCAGAGTTGAAAAAGTCACTGTAAATAATAAAAAACAAAAATTAAAATTTGATCCAGTGTGACAGTGAGGCCCCCAGGCGACACAGGCGACCGCCCTGCCTCCCTCTCTCCTCTAGCTCACTCTGACATTTTTTTTCTTTCTCCCAATTTCTCTCTCTCCTCTGTCCTTCCCTATTACCAGTGACTTCCACTTTCTGAACCAGTCTTCCCACTGACCTTCCTTTTCTTTACCTCACTACCTTCTCTCTTCCCTCCATCTTTCACTTCCTTTCCTATTGTCTCTCCCTCACTCCTCTCTCTCTTGCTCTCTCTCCCTCTCTCTCTGAGCAGAGAGGATGATGGGACTTTAGTGGCTCAGTGTCACTTCTTTAGTTTCGCGGCAGTAGCAGCAGAAAACTCTGGTCGGAGGACAACAAAAGCGACCAAACTTCGTACTTTTTAAAAGAATCACTTCACTTTTCTTTCTTTCTTTTTTTTTTAGAAAACAACATCAAAGAGTGAAGTGAAATCTGGGGCCGCGGGAAGTTTTCTTCAGTTTGTCGTTTACTTCACTTCCTTCTTCCTGCTGGAAACTGGTGTGGGTTTGTCCTCGCACCTAAAACTGATGATGATGGTGATGAAGAGGAGGAGGAGGAGACGCTGCTCTGAGCAGCAGCAGCAGTAACAGCATCAGCAGGTGGAGCAGCAGTGACAGCAGCAGCAGCAGTTGTGTCAGCCGCCTACAGGAGCAGCTCCGTGTTTTTGACCCGGGATTTTACTGCCGCGGCTCGTGGATTAACGCGCGGCTGAAGTTTGGAGAAGATGCCGGTAGAAGCTCAGTGACGCGCCGCGGTGCGCACTTTTCTTTCCCTCGTCTTCACCGCCTTCTTCAGTATCTGGATTAAAACTCTGACTCCTGCTCCTCTTCCCTTCTCGTCCTCTTTTCCTCCACTTTTTTTTCTCTTGCGGAGTTTGCGGCTGATGGACGCGCCGTTGCGCGCCGTCTCCGCGGATGGGATGAAGCGGCAGTGAGGCGCGGTTGACACCGACAGAGCAGTGATGGTGTAAAGACAGAGGATAAAAATAAGAAGAGAAAACAAAGAGTTTCACATGTAAGTAAGAAAGAAAATTTCATTTCTCTAAAGGTCAGACTTGACGACAATTGTTCAACTTTGACCTTTTACTTGATGTCGACAAAGTATCGAAAACACCTGCCACTCGGAATGTTCTAGATTTGAATTTAACCCCTCAAGAAAAGCACAAACAACACACAAGTTTGTAACGGTTCTTCCGGTGCCTTCACGAGAATCGTCAAAAATCTTAAAATATAGCCTTGATAATCGTATTTTGCGGCCTAAAATGTAAAAAAATATGCCTTTAATTGTTATTTTATGACGTGAACAGCCGTGTGATTGGACTGTGCACTCAACACAGGTACAAAAAAAAAACAGGGTCAAAATGCGGAAAGATGTGACAGATGAAAAATACGAGCACATTTTCATAAAGAATTAGATTTTAACCAATGTTAATATTTGAATATAAATAAAAAAAAGTCACATAAGTGTCAACTCTGAGGAGTTGACATAACGATGAAAAGCTACAAATCAAGTTGCTGTCGTTTGGTTCTAACCTTTGTGACCTTTTAGTCCAAAATTTTCAAAAATGGAATAAATTACACAAAAATACCCAGAAAAGATCAGAAAATGTGTTGTTGAAAAGTCATGTGTTGTTGTTGACAATGTTCAGAAAGTCACTCTTTGGCCATAGTCGTAACGGAAGCAAAATTTTAAGCAAAATTTTACAAAACGTGTCGTAAAGTTTTATTTTATTATATATAATTCTTGAAATTTGAGTCAAACAGTCTTTCCATTCAGGGGATAAAAAAAAAGTATTTATTTTTGTCGTAGCAGCCGCAGTAAAGACTAGTTTGTGCGGTCGTTCTGGTGTTTCTTGAAATGGTTAACAAAAAAGTTGGCAAAATGTACATGTTACTGAAATGTTTTTCATATTTTTCTGCTGAATGTTTAAAAACCTTGGCTAAATTAAATTAGATGTTAAAGTTATCTTTCTTGCTAACAGGAGATGTTACAAATGCAGCAATCTTTCCAAAGAACTTTGACAGATATCACCGTGCGGTCAAATCAAATTTGTTTTTTGGGGTTTTGCAGAACTTTGACAGATATCACCGTGCTGACCGCAAATCAAATTTGTTTTTTGGGGTTTTGGGTCTTTTTTTCCCACAAACTAGACAAACTCCTTAAATCAACTGAGATATTTTTTTACCACGAAAATAACTTATTACGCCCTTTTCTTGTCTCACTGTCTGATTAATGTGTAAATTGAACTTTTGTTTTGTCTAAAACATTAGAAGAAAACTCCCAGAAAGTAGCTGAAAAGTGAGCATAAAAAATAATCTCCTGCTCCTCTGTTTTTAGTTTTGCGGCTGTGTCTTCTGTTTCCTCCAGAGACTTTGTTTCCTTTGTTTCCACACACACACACACAGACACACACAAACACTCACACAGGACACTTTCCATTAATTAAGCGAGTGTGTTTATGCAGGAGGAAAACATGGCCGCTGCTGCTGCTAAGAAATAAAACTAACAGAATCTACATCAGATCAGCTCCACAACATCTCAATAGAACAAACACTGTTTCATCTCACTGTCAGACAGTGTACACAGGAGTCCACAGAGGAAACCTGGGGTTTTTAGCTCACTGGGACAAAGACGCTGCCCGCTGTTTTCAGTTTGTGTCACTGAAGTAAATCTAAATGAAGGATTTAAACCGCTGACGTCATGAAACGAGACGTGTTAACGAGAGCCGCAGGCAGCGAACCAGCAACTCTGTTTATCGCTGATGTCAGAATATTCCCACTAATATGCGTTGCCTTTAAACAGGAAACATAATTTTTCAAACCAAAGTCCATAGAGAAAAATAGCTAATTTTAAAGTACCGCACATAGACAGTGTTTACAGATGGTTTAAATGTGTGATTTTTATTGTTTTGCATGTAAATTTTCTTTCCGTCAGTTGTTTCCATGTTCAGTTACAAAAACTGACCGCACGAGGCAGTGGTTGACTCGTGACGCCCACAACCAGCAGGCTAGAAATGCGGACATTTAAACTTAAAAAAGTCCAGTTTAACACGTGTTCTAAGCAGCAGGTAAATCACTGAAGACATTTTTTTAACATACCATAACCTCGTCTCTGTGACGGCTCCACAAACAATAAACTGTTCCTTTAGCTCCAACTCTAACAGCTGATCACCTTCCTCCTCCTCATCCTCCTCCTCCTGCTTTTCCTCCCCCTCCTGCCGCTCCAGCTTCCAGACAGTGACCCTGTGCTCGGGCTCACGTCCTCTGACCTGTGACTCTGGTCGTATTTTTTAAAGCTGTGTAGACAGCTGTCAGTGGGGAGAGCAGGTGTGACCGGGAACGTGTTGTGGAACGTCCCGGAAATAGGAATTTACACCAAGATTATCTCATGCCGTGATGATGTGTCATCACAGTTAGCCTGCTATTTAGCCAACCAGGCTAACACATTTGTTTACATGATAAAATATCTCATTTTAACTGTTTGTATTAATGAGACATCATTTATGTGTGGCCTCATAAATCAGATTTTTTCTTTTATTAGTATTACTTCTCATCATTGGTTTACCTATCAGGACTTATCACTAGACTAGATTAGCTCGCTAGTTAGCACTCCACAGTGTGTGTGTGTTGTTGTTGGTCTGAAGCACAAATGTTTACCAGATTTTGGCGTTGGACAAAATCTTTGGTGCGATGTCATGACTGTTATGATCATGTGACTGGCATTAAAATGATTGTTGTGTGTGTGTGTGTGTGTGGACTCTGCACAGCAACAGGTGTCACATCGCTACGGAAGCCCCGCACGCCATGCATGCATCGAATTTGTTCTTGTTTGTGTCTGTCAGACTTAAGAGCATCCAGAGTAGCTTTGATATGTTTGCCTGAGTGTGTGTGTGTGTGTGTGTCCATGTGGTGCTGTTTGTTCAGAGAAGCAGCAGCAGCAGCAGCTGTACACCTGACCTTTCCTTGAGCTAAGACGACATGAACTACTGCTGTCTGACATAAGGTTCTTGCTGCTGTCATGACATCACTCCTCCAGGCCTCAAACCTCTGCCTGTTTTTAAAAACCAAACCATTGAACTTTACCATTTACAGTCAGCTGCAGCCGCCGCACTGACGATTGGGTTGATGCCTAATTGGGGCAAAACCTGAGCGCAGACACCGGCCTAAAAAACCCTCGGCCGTTTGCTCTGCATTAGCGTCTGTTGTGTCTTTTTCATGGCCATTAACCTCTATGAAAGACAGAAATGATGAGGTCACTTCCTGTACACTCAGCTGACACGAGAAACCTTTGTCAGTGGCTGTGAGCTGCTCCAGGCACATCTCTCCTGCGTCTTACAGTTGTCTAAAGTCTTCTATCTGAAGTGGTTGGGGATCGGGTTTTGGACGAGTTGACTGACAAGCTAATATTGCGTTAAACAAAGTCGTTTACTGTGTTTACCTTTAGGCACGACTTCAGAATATTAACCGATCAATTTCCCACACAAAAGTCAGATGAGAAAATGAGTGACTTTGGCTTACTGCTGCCCCGTGTGGTCAGGTTGTGTGTGCTTTTTAGTTGCAGCAGCTACATTTTCACAAATGTATCCGTGTTTTGGGAAGTCTGGGAACAGAAGGGTTGGAGGGGGAGTGGGGGGGGGGCTTTAGCCATTAGACTGAAGGGATTGTGGTTTGGCAATGTGTTTTCTCGCTACTGCTGTGACCTTCATCTTTATCAGTCTGAAGCATGGAGGTCAGAGGTCAGAGGTTACGCTGGTATGACATCACGCCAGAGGTCAGGCTAGGATGACATCAAGTGGATTGTGTTTTTTTTTTTCTTCAGTGCTGTGCAGGAATCAGCCGCTGCATTCTGATTTATCAGCAATGTCTACTGTTCTTGAGTGTGTATGAGTGTAAATCACACACAGACACACACACACACACTCAGTCTGTGTCTGTGTGTGGTGATGGTTTATGGCTTGGAGGGTGCAGGTCACAGTTATCAATCACACTCTGTGGAAGTGTCTGCTTCTCAATCATCACAAAATCATTCAAACACACACACACACACACATGCACAAAACACACACACACCTGTTCACCACCTTGTGCTCTGGGACCAGAATCCTCCGCTGTAACCATAGCAACAGCAGCTGCACCATAGTGACCAGTGTCTCCATCAACAACAGGCCTCCGTGGAGTGTGTGTGTGTGTGTGTTTTCCTGTCTCCACTTCCTGTATGTTTTTGCCACTTCCTGTCTCTTTGTCGTCACTGGCTAATTGGAGTCGTCTGGCTGTCTTCATTTCTCAGTGTGGGACATGTTTGTCTGTTAGATGTGACATTTGTGGGATTACAGATTAGATGAGTTTGAGCTGAAAGGTAGCAGGAAGTACGACATCAATAACTGAAGGGTTAATTAGCTAAACGCTAAAACATGGAAGAAACCAGTGAACTGTTTCCCAAAATACAAACTAATGACTAAAGATGGGTTCAAGTATTAACCACAAGTTACATAAAATAAAACTCTACTAAGTTAGTTCAGAGTTACCTTAAAGATAAGCTAAAAACTCTACTAAGTTCAGAGTTACCTTAAAGATAAGCTAGAAACTCTATCAAATGAGCTCAGAGTTACCTTAAAGATAAGCTATTTTTCCCACAGTATTTATGAATTACCTCTAGTTTTACACAGGGTCTTTTTTAGATTTTGATAATGACTCAATGATTATGATGAGGGTTTTTTTTTCTCCACATTTTTTTCATTTGTCAAAAATAAATTCAGAGTGAACAAATGAGCGGATCAGTGTTTTGCTCCCATGACAACAAACAGGACGCGAGGCAGCAGAAACTGGAAACAGTTACTGACCCTAACGGTCATTTATTATTTTTTATTTTTAATTCTCAAATTTTACTGGGCAGCAGCTGCAGGAGTTTGGCTGCTCCTCACACCTGGAGACCAGGGATGGCTGTGGTCCAGCACTGCTTCAGGGTTTTGGTGCTGACGAAGTGTGCAGTGAGCATAAGGATACAGATTTAATATT